AGGAGGGGACCTTCTCGTAGTCCAGCGGGCGCAAACTCCGGACGGTTCCACTCTCTGCGTCCACTGACACGAATGATGCCGGGGCAAGGGCGCCTGTCAGTGGCCTCACTAGCGCGTATCTCACGCGGGAGTTTTCTCCCGCATCAGGGTCTGTGGCACTGAGGCAGCCCAGGCTCCTCCCCACAGGCTCATTTTCGCTGATCTCCATGGTGTAAATAGCCTGGGTGAAGGTGGGCGCATTGTCGTTCACATCCAGGAGCCGTACGAGCAGGGTCTTGGATGCTGAGAGGGCGGGGGAGCCCTCATCTCGAGCTCGCACCGTCACGTTGTATTCCTCCACTTGCTCCCGGTCCAGCGTCTCTGATGTCACCAGCGCGTACGCGTCAGCTGCCAGCAGCGTGATCCTGAAGGGTTGCTCTCCTGTCAGCTCGCAGGCTGTCCTGCCGTTGTCCCCCGAGTCCCTGTCCCTCACGTTGAAGAGGGCGACCACGGTGTTCGGCGGAGCGGCTTCAGAGAGGGTGCTGGTGAGCGAGGTGATGATCACCTCGGGGGCATTATCGTTCACGTCCTTCACCTGCACCTCCACCTTGCAATGCGTGGACAGGCCCCCTCCATCTGTGGCTTGGACGTCTATCTCATAGGTCTTTTTTTCTTCATAATCCAAAGGCTTTTTGAGTCGAATTTGACCTGTCTCTGGGTTTATTTTAAATGTCTCTAAATTTTCCTCTGAATTTTGAACTATGGAATAGACGATTTCCCCATTCGTTCCTGCATCTAAATCGCTAGCAGACACTACCACCACGACGGTATCCTGTGAGCTATTTTCCATTACAGAGACTTTATACAGAGTCTGGGAAAATACCGGGATGTTGTCATTTACATCCAGGACTATCACGCGGATTAAAGCTGTGCCAGAACGCGGTGGAGTCCCACCATCCACAGCCGTGATGCTGAAAGCAACTTCTACCTGCTGCTCCCGGTCCAGGGCTCGATCCAACACCAGCTCGGCGTACCTCCCGCCGTCACTCCGCCGCCGGGTGTACACAAGGAAATATTCGTTCGAGCTGATACTATAATGCTGAAGACTGTTGTTCCCCACGTCTGGATCGTGAGCGCTTTCCAGCAAAAACCGAGTCTCCGGCAGTGCAGATTCCGGGATCTTTAAAACAATCTCTTTATTTAAGAACACAGGAGAATTATCATTTATATCAGTGAGTCTTACCTCAGCTCGGAAGGACTGCAGAGGGTTCTCCAGCAGCACCTCAAAACGCACCAAGCAGGGCTCGCTCTGTCCACACAGCTCTTCCCGGTCCATCTGCTCTCTCACCACCAAATTCCCGGTGTGCTGGTTCAGTTGTAAATACTGCTTTTCTCCTTCAGGAACTAGTCGAGCCTGACGAGCCAATAATTCCTCACCGGTTAGTCCCAAATCCTTAGCGATATTCGCCACGAAAGAGCCTCTCTCCGCCTCTTCGGGCACAGAGTACCGAGCGCTTTCTCCTCTCATCTCCGAGACGCAGAGGACAATGATCAGAGCCACCGCCCTCCCCGGGAGCCGTTCCTCGCTCTTCCTCAGCTTCATTCCCTTCCAGCGACCCGATCTCCTCTCCTGTGAGCCGGACGGAGCTGCCGATACAGCTGCTGACCCCCGAACGGAGCAGCCCGAGATGGTGCAGCCCCGCCCGCCCGAATCGCAGGGGAGGCGGAACTGGGAGCTGCGCGGAGTTTCCGCGGTCAGCAGCGGCGCCAGGCGGCCGATATGTAGAAGGATTCTAAGATTTCCCAGCGCAAAGCCTGCAAAGCAGAGATTAACGGCTCGATTTCTCTCTTCCGAGGTCAAAGCATGGAAATTCAGCCCTCCGTACAACCGTATTCAAAGTATTGCCACTGGCTGAATGAGCAATGCCTCTGTTTGCCTTCTATATCAAAACGGAATTTATTTAAAGCTGGGTTGTTCCTTTTGTTTCGGTTCCCCCTCCCTTCCCCCAGTGTGAACGCTTTGAATAAATTACTTATTGTTCAGCTAAAACAGTTGTGTATTGTTACAGGGATCCGGCCATCAGGTGAGGTGGTCTTTTAACCACGGCAGCTATCGCCAGAGTCATTCTTGGAGTGGAACGAGATTGTTCCCGCTGTTCAGGACCTCTCCTGCTGGGAGCCTGTGGGAATGGGCTGGAGACAGCATCTCAGACCTCAGCATCACACTGACAAAAATCACTCTGCCTTGCTCCGACTTCTGAGACCGTCCTATTTCCCAGGTCGTTCTGATTTGCCCTGCATAAATTCCACTCCAGGTGCACGGATTTACTCCCAAAATCCTGCTCTTGGCTATTTCCTCAGCGCCATCTGTGGCAAGTGATCTCGAGACAGCACACTCACCCGACAGAGTTCCAAGTAGATTTTATTGTTTTCTGTCATCACTCATTTGACTCTTTAAAATGATTCAGCAACAGGAATTATCACATTACTTTATAGATTAACACCGACTGACGAAACAAAACCAGAAAGCTTCTTGACACGCTACATTCTACAGTGCCCTAAGTTAATTGTAAATGGCTTCGTCTATTTTACTGAAAAAACACAAACAATATTTTAATTATATTGGATTTTAAAAATAGAAAAATGGTAATTTCAACTTTATAGAAAAAAAAAAGAAAGGAAGGAAGAATACATTGTTCAAAGCATACTCTTTACAATTAGGAGAACCTGTAAACTCCTGGTCAAATATGCGAAGTGTGCCAGTGCCAGCAGCTCAAAATGTAAACAGCTTCTACTTATTTTGTACGAAATTCTTTTGCAAGCACCACTTAATTCTGCATAATATCTGTTTCGCCTGCTGCTGAATACACAGCACAAAATTAAGATATTATTACAAAGCTCTCTCCATAAAAAGAAACAAAGCACAAATGGAAATCCCCCAGAAAAGACGGTGTAACAAGAAGTTAAAGATCTGCTGACAGTTTTCAGTATTTCTCGAAGTATGTAGAAGCAGTAGCACTCTCACAATCATACATAATTATGTAATCAACATGCAGGACGGTTCCTCCTCCATCGACATCACAATTACAAAATACCTACATGAATAAAGTACTGCCCAAGGGGAAAGTACTCTCACAGAGAAGGCTTCATCTCCGTGGTACCTTTTAGGTAGGTGTTTGGTCTGTTCCCTTTTCCCTGTGAGGACAGACAAACTTGTCCTTCTCTTCACTTACTGATGGGCAATCCAAGGGTTTTGCTCAGAACTGACATTTAGCTCCAGCTCCCTGTTTGCAGGGCAAACTGCATCTGCAGCTCTGGCCCCCGTATCTTCAGAGAGGGGAGCACTGCCCTGCAAAGAACAGAGAGAGCAGTTGTCATTTGGTGCTGAAGAGAAAGAGGCGTCGCCGAGAAGCTTGGAGGATGTGCCTTACACCACTGCCTGCATCACACCACTCCTCTCTACCGAGAGTCAAAGAGAACGCAAGACATGGTGGGTCTCTAATCTAAATGATGAACGTCTGAAGTCAGAAACCATCCTCCAAAAAGGTGTTATTGTAAGATTTTTATGAGTCTGATTAAAACTTTCATGAATTTTGAGTAATTCAAAACGGTAAGAGCCCCAAACAGAAACTACTTTCTCACAAATAATAAAATGTGTTTTGATGTTCATATATCAAGAAGGGTCCTTGCCTTCCCTGAGGCTGCTGTGATTTTGACAACCCGCAGTAAATTGAGTCCAAGTGTTTATGAAATACAAAAATATTAATTGATCCTGATGGTGTTTGTGTTTCTAGAACCTCATATATGTTCATCATCCAATCTACTGTGAAGTGCTAGATGGATCCTTTGAAACTCTCCATGGAGTCCCCACAGAATCCCATATTAAGATGTGACTGACTTCGATAACCACTCTTTTCTGGCCAACACTATCCATTTGCAAGTCACAAAATTATGAGGGAATTTAAATCCAGAGGTTCCCACCTCTGTGGCCTTCTGCAGTTTGTAAGGCATCTTGAGTTCAGCACTGCCACCACCCTGGTGAATGGCACGTGTCAGCTCCCAACAGCAGTGCAGGGGACATCCTTGGTGACACCCCTTTGCACAGTTGTCCCCGCACTCCTATCTGATGCCGCATTCCCATACTGCCACGTCCGGGAGGATGTATCCCTAGGAATGTTGTCATTCCTGCTCCAGGTCCCTATGAGCTCCACACAGGGCAGGACCCTCTATGGGGACACCTGTACTTTTCACCTTCTCATGGTCAAACTCCTCCCCTTTGAAATGACTCCAAACTCTTGATCTAACATGAATACTCAGCACAGATATGGGTGCAAGCCCAGAGAGGTGGTGGGTGCCCCTTGGAAATATCCAAGGTCTGAGAAAGCTGATCTAGTTGAAGGTATCCGTGCTCATTGCATGAGGGTTTGTAGCTAAAGGGTTTTAAAGGTCCATTCAAACCCAAAATGTTCTTTCCTTCTGTGATGCAGAGAGGCGTGGTTAGTCAGATTTGGGGAGCAGCTGAGCCCTGCTGGATCCTCCTGGGAGGCCTCTCCAGCGGCTCTGAGGCCGCCTCTATCTCCTCCCACCCCAGGGACCCCTCCACTCCTCTGCATCTTCAACAATCCTTGCTGTCAGGGCGCGACACACCTCCCCCCTACCTGCGCGATCACCTCAGCCCTGTCAGTCCCTCACCTGTGCAATCCAGTCGCCTTCGCCCCCGAGGTTGGCCGCATCCTGCGAGCACACCGAGCTCCGCTGTTGGCCCGGGCCGGGGGGCAGCCCGGCGGGGAAGCAAGGGAAGAGGGGCCTGAGGAAGCGGAACTCGCTGTTGACGGTCCCGGCGGCGAAGCAGACATCGTACACGTAGCTGCGGGGCAGGGAGCCCGCGGTGCTCTCCGTGGCAGTCGTCGGGAACGTGGGCAAAGTGTCCGTCTCGCTCCGCCAGGCTCTCCGCACCTTCACGACCAGGGCGGCCACCGCGGTGGCGAGGAACAGCGCCGACACGCAGACCAGGGAGGCGATGAGGTAAAGAGTAAGCGACCCGTCGGGCTCGGCGGCCGGTGCCTCCTCGCTCACCCGTAAATGGGCTTCGGAGAAGCCGTCCACCAGTGCCACGGCGAGAGTGGCGGTGGCAGAGCGCGCCGGCTGCCCGCGGTCCCGCACCAGCACGAT